ATCAACCAAAGGACTTGTATGCATGCATATAAGCATAACCAATGGACACAGACAACAGGGAGATGAGAGCATGAGTGGGGGGGGGGCATTAATGGGGGGATGAGGACACATTTGTAATACCTTAACCAATAAAGAAATTAAAGATAAAAAATAAATTAATTTAAAAAAAGAAATAAAGAATGTTTACATACTTGTAATAACAGAGCACTAGAGGCAATCAAAATGGCCATCAATAAAAAGAATGGATAACTTAAGACATATCAGTCCAATGAAAGCACAGTTGTTAAAAATCACATTTTCAAAGACCATTTAGTCACTTGGAAAAAGTTTACAAATACCAGTTAAGTGGAGTGAGAAAAAGCATATAAAATATCATTTCAATAATTTTTAAAAGAAGAAAAAATAAATATAGAAAAAATTGGAAAAAAATACATTGAAATGTCAATAATGATTTGTTTGTTGTTTAGTGGTTGTTTTCTTCTCGATATTTTTCTGTATTTTCCAGCTTTTGTGTAATGACTAGTTATGGCTCTTTCTATTTGAAATACAGTGATAAATTTTTTTAAAAGAAAAGACAAGGAATTTGTCTCATGTAGAATGAAAATAGAGGGAAGAGCAGTCTCTTAGGAGTCCAGGCCAGCAATGGCCTGGCTGCTGAGGAGGGCTCACATGACGGACAGACTGAGTACAGTGTCTGGAGTGAATTTTCAGCTACATTCTCTTTTGCAAAGTAGTTTGGTATAGTCAATGCCAAGGAATTTGGGTCAAGGAGAAAGTCATTTTCACTAGATACTACTTTCTGCTACATTCAAGGATAACAGATTATAGGATCCGCGACACAGTTGAAATGATGTCTTCACTGCTCTTGGGTTGAACTCATGCTTGCTGCCTCTGTGTATAATCCCCCCACCTTACACATACGCTTACCCCATCACACCAAGCAGACAGACTGCAGTCATGACTACGGGCTTCGGACAGATGGTGGGCTCCTTTCTGGCATGAGAGACAACACCCAGGGTCAATGCTTCTATGGGGTGATTTCAAAGCCTTCTTTGGCCAACGCATTGGGAGCTCCAGAAAATGCCAGGAAACAAATGTTTTTGGCAGAGAGATGTCCTCCTCACAGATTTCAGTGAATCCTGGTCAGAACTCTCTCTGATAAGATTAGAAGACTTGTAGTTAGGCCTCTGGCCTAGAGTCAAACCTTTCCAAACGTCCTTGAAATTTTCACACCACATGCTTTGGTGAGTTAGGGAGTGGTGCCAAAGATCTCAGATGAAAGTCAATTTAGACAGACCAAAACAAAAAAATTAAAATAATGATACTTACAATACTAATAGCAATATCAAAAGCAAAAACACCAATGCTGACCATAATTATGGTAATTATTTTCATTAACACCTTGACTTGCCATGCATTTTTCTAAGTTGCCCACACCATTTCACATCTATTACCTTACTTACTCTGACAGAATCTCAGTTTTACATTTTTTAAAAATACCATTTCAGAGGTGGGAGGAAGCTTTAAAGTTCTCATGTAAACCAGACCCTTTTTGAGTTAAAAACAAAACCCTGAAGTCTTCATGTGGTGTTTTCCAACTGAGTTCTTGACAAGAAATCAGGGGATTTCAGCATGAGATATTATGAAGCCCTATTACCATGAATTCTTAGCTTTGGGGACGATGATGTGGCCTTATTGCAAAATTCTCTAAAGGGAGTAATAGAAGATTTATAACGCTGACCCAGGGTAAGAAGGGGGCTTGTACTTTTGTGCTATAAAAACTATAAAACCTCTGGGGGTAAAAAAGAACTGACTGGTCTGTGGGCACGGCCTGGTAGCTGCTACGCTCAGTCCACATCTGCTTACTGTGAATCAACGAGTGCAGGCTAAGCCCCTTGGATGATCAAGGTTCTGAAAAGACAATGGTGCCTCAAATTTGAACTCTACTCCTCATGTGGAATTAAAAGTTTAAAAATAATAAAATTAAAATTTAAAAAGCTCAAGAAAATCTAGCTTCTCCCATGGTATCTACTTTGACGCTTTTTTGAAAATGTGGGAGATCCAAATATTTACAACGTTGGTATTTGTTACCCCTGCCTTGCTGGTGTGTCTGTACCAATACTGCGGAGGGGTCATGGTGACAGTAGTGGAAGTCTGATTTGGCGGCCGCATACCTCTCCCTGCCATGCTATTCAGCTAAGCCAGTGGTTCTCAACCTTTCTAATGCCGCGACCCTTTAATAGAGTTCCTCATGTTGTGGTGACCCCCAACCATAAAATTATTTTCGTTGCTATCTCATAACTGTAATTTGGCTACTGTGATGAATCGTAATGTAAATATCTGATATGCAGGATGTATTTTCATTGTTACAACTTGAACATAATTAAAGCATAGTGATTAATCACAAAAACAATATGTAATTATATATGTGTTTTCTGATGGTCTTAGGCGACCCCTGTGAAAGGGTCGTTCGACACCCAAAGGGGTCGCGACCCACAGGTTGAGAACCGCTGAACTAAACATTAGAAATCAGGAGGTTGAC